GGAGCGGCGGCAGCGCGGCCGCGGCGCCCGCGGGCCGGGCCGGGCCGGGCCGGGCCGGGAGTGGCGGGAAGGGGCGGCACTGCGGCCCGGCAGCGGAGCGGAGCAGGCGCGGCGAGCCTGGCCCCGCTGACCCCGCTCGCTCGCGGGCCCGGGGAGGAATCCCAGGAATGAGGGAATTCTGCGCCGAGCAGGTGGGGAGCGCGGGGCGGTCCCATTGGCCAAGACCGCTATGACGTCAGCATAATTAGGGTAATGATGAGCTGACGTCACATCCTCGCAGGTAGGGAGCGCGCGCGCCAGGCCCCGCCCCGGGGAGGGGCTCGCGGGGGCCGAGGTCGAAGGGCCACCGGTTCGAACCCCGAGAAAGCCGGGAACGCCACACCGAGGAAGTGGAGAAGAGGGAGCGGGTACAACGCCGCCAGTCTGTGCCTGCTTGACTCCGACTCTGCTTTAAAAAGCTTTTCTGCAACTACAGGCAAACAATAAAAAAATTCTCTTCACAACGCACTTTTTTAAAAGCCGAAGTGCGCCACTTGCGTTTCAAATTGAAACGCGCCGTCACTCAGCATCTCACAAACCGGCTGAGCAGCCACGCGCACAAATGACGAGGAACAAGCGTTTCAGAGCCTGAGGTAACGTACTACAGCCGGGCTGAGGGATGGGGGGCTAACGTCCACGTATTCCACACAATTTGACGATAATTGGTCTGAACAGATCCGTCACTTTGTTTCCTGTTTACTGCTCGTACCGCAGCAGATTTTTACAGAATCCCTTCTTGCACTCGATATGACTCATTCAGCCGCCGGAGGAACTGCCACCAGTCAGAGGTGTGCGAAACTAAAGCTGAGCCATCGCCATGGTCAACGAATCGCTCTCGTACTCTTCCATCTCCAGAGCAGGAGCTCCCACGTGCAACTGCAAAAAGTCTGAATGTCTGCCAAGAGCCAGAACGATCCAGTCCCTCAGCACTGGACTACTGGGAAAAGCAAGAAACACACCTGTTCTCACCATCCCAGCACTCCCCGAACACCAGCACATCCTCACTCCCCTTGCCTTGCAGCAGCACTCATTCCAAGTTTGCCATTCCCAAGATTCAAGCAATTTAGGAGCACGTTTTGCCTGTTTTGAGTAACGTTATCAAAAACTAACTGGTTTGGAACAGCTTGTGTATTTGAAAGAGCCACTTCTCAGAAGCCAAACTAAGACTATTCCAATGCACTCTGAAGAACCTGGGAATGCTGTTTGTGCAACAGGCATTTAATTTGCAGAAATTAATTACAAAACAGTAATGGGAAAGTGCTGTACTGATCTTCTGGTGTCCACATGAACATCAGTTGTCATGTAGAGAAACAGGTCCAATAATTCTGCATTTTACCTTCACAAGGATCTGAGGGTGCTTTGGGCAGCTCTTGGAGTGCACTGCAAAGGGAAAGAATCACAGAATGTGCTGAGTTAGAAGGGACCCACAGGGATCATCCAGTCCAACCCCTGGCCCTGCCCAGACCCATCCCCAAGAGTCACCCCCTGTGCCCCAAACCCTCCTGGAGCTCTGGCAGCCTTGGGGCTGTGCCCACTGCCCTGGGGAGCCTGGTCAGTGCCCAAACAGCTTCTGGGGGAAGAACCTTTTCCCGAGATCCAATCTAACCCTGCCCTGACACAACTTCAAATCAATGTGAACCCCACAAAAAGCCTTAGGTCTGCAGATTTGTGGTGGAACCCAAAAAGAACACAGGGCAACAGAAATGCCATGTCTCAGTGGAATTCTGCTCATGGTATTTCTCCTACCCAGCTCTTCCTCCCCTCAGTGTGACAGACACACACACTATTATAATAAATGCATAAGTATATAAATGGCAGCACAACTGTCTGTGTTTTCTCAAGGAAAAAAAAAGTACCAAGGCACAGCAAGGTTTATTTTAGATACTGAAACTGGGATTGGTGCATGAAATGGTGGAGGGAGCACAGCTCCCACATGTCGCCAGAGGTGCAGCCAAAGGAGCAGCCTGGCCAAGTGGTGTGGGAGGCTGCACGGAAGGGAACGGCCGGGGATGAACCCACACACCCTGCACTTGGATTCCTTGAAAGATTCAGATCCCATGAAGGGCCTGTGCTGTCCAGTTCCCATTTAAAAGTCTATCAAAATCATGCAAGAATAGCTGACACTGAAGTATTTTCATATCCTTGCGCGGACAGGTCATGAGATCCTCGGGCCACCAAAAGCTAGCCAAAAATGCATTCCAAACATTAAATGAAATCCAGATTTAGACTCCACACACTCAGTATACCTAATAGAAACATTTCAGTTGCTAAAAAACTGAAAGGCATATAGTCTCATAATAATAATAAACAACATAATTTTATACATATTTTTAAACCTTTGTCTATGACATTTATACCAATATATGGTAATATTTATATTTTTAAAAATTAATATTGTTTTAATAGACTACTGAAAAATATTTTCATTACCAGCTAACAAGAACAGAATTTTGATGATCTAATATTTGGAAAAATACTAGTCATAATAATCTAAAACTTAAGAAAAAAAAGATATCAGAAAAAAAAAAATGAAATACGGAAAACAAAACCACAGGCACTGGGAAAAGATCTGAACTAGACATTGGTACACATCACGAGAATTAATTGCTGCAGACTTTTTAATATGCATCTTTAAGAAAAAAGTCTGCCACTCTTGTTTATAACTGCTGGAGGGAATAGGTGGGAAGGGTTTCTTTGTTTAATGACACAGAGCTCCTGGGATGAGGAGGAGCTTCAAAAAGGAGAGGTCAAAACCAGCTTTTCATCCTTTGGATATTCTATTACAGCTCCCAGCAAAAGTTTTACAACAGGATATTTACTAAACATCTAAAGAGTCTGAGGAACATCAGCTTGCTGGGAACAGTGACCCTGTGCATTCCCGTACAGACACTGCTGGTGCAGACAGACAGACTTCCCCACTGAAGTGAGCTGTAAGCACTCGTTAAAACAAAAAGAATGAAGGGCAAGTTGTCAAACACTGGAAATCTTCGAAAACAGCATAAGAAAACCTTGTTGAAGCTGCTGAGTTCAACACAGGCTAATGTTCAGCGAAGCCACTCAAAAGGCAAATTCACAAACCAGTAAAGCAAACCCAGCCTTGGGTGATGAATGGGATTTTGTTTTGCTTGGCTGTTAAAATTTATTTTCGTTTTTGCATGTACTTTCTAACTGAATGATATCAAAGGCTCTTTGCTGACTTGGATACCAGCAAAAATATACTTTGCTGAAACCCAAAAACCGATTGACACAGCTGAGGGTTCCTAGCTGAACTAAAACAAAAGTAGTGCTTCAAGCCTTAGGTAAGGCACCTAAGATATGATGCAAATCCTGGGACAGACTCCAGTTGCTACTCCTATTCCAAATGTGTATTAATCACCAAAAATTAGTCACATTCTCCATACGGTATGGCCACTGCAACAGAAGATTTAACCCCTGCGTGAGGGAGCCGGGATCATTCCTGCCGGTGCATCTCAGGTGCCGCAGGATCGATGTCTCCCGACTTCTCCTGCTGTGGATGTGCCAGTCACACAGAGATCTGCCACATCCCCCAGGCCCACTGAGCTCCTCAAACAATATGTTAGCACAGGGGCACAGAGAGACACCAGTATTTCACAAGCACCAAAAGCCGCCAAGTCATTTCTAAGTATGTTTTGAGAGTTACCACTGTTTCACAAAGTGTTTTAACACTTTTTTCTTCTTTTTAGTATAGAAGAAGGAAAGAACCTGAAACCAGAGGAGGAAACCTGTATACTAGCAAGTGCAGTTGCAGTCTGCAGGGAGATCTGATGGCCCAGTTCTACAGACCCTACTCAAACATTAATCTTGTAACTACTATTGAAATAAAGCCTGACATCTGGTCCATGACCAACCAAGAAAATAAAACAATTTTCACCATACCAAGAGTTGGTTAAAAATGCCTTGGGCAAGTACCTCCCTCCATGTGGGTCCCAACAGCAATAGCCTCATTACTGTGAAAGTCTGCAGTGTTCACCAGCCACTGGTGCTCCATGTGCAAAGGGACTCCAGCCTGGTTTGGTAAACTATTTTTGACTGATTTCAGCTTCTAAGACTTGCAGCAGGGGGCACGTGTTGTGTGTTGCTTCAATCAACAATACAAGTGTAGAGCTACAAAGAGATGGTTTCTTTTTCTTTAGGTGCCCATCTAAGGAAGTAATTTGCCAAGTGGTATCACTGCATGTAAGAGAGGAATTTATGGAAGTTCTTCCAGTTTCTTACTGCAATCTCATTTAGTTTTTCGAACAGCAACAATGTCTGTTACAACAGAGAGGAATGCATGAAGTTACCTTCAGTCTGAAGAGAAGCCCAAGACATACCAAACTTTGCATGAAGATGATTAAGTTGGTGCCAAAAGCAAACACTTTTCCCAAAGCTATCACAAAACACCATTACTTGTCAGCTTAGTAAGGCATGTCATTGCTTCCCAATCTCTGTCAGTACAACTACAATGCATGCTTCCATCTATCCACACATTCTTTTAATAAAACAGGTTGATTTTACACCAAATGACAGCAGCTTTTAAAATCATATCTCAAAACACATTTTATCACACACAAATTATGCAGCCTCTGTAACAAACATCTTTTCTTCCATGTTGACACTCCTAAGCTCTGAATCTAAAACTCTTCCCTCCAAAAATCTGGGTTCATTTGCACTGCATCTCAAAGCTACCTTATATAAAAACACACCCAAAATCCAAAGCACTGTGGAACATCAGACTTAAAAAGACACTTTAAATTTTTTTTGAAGATAGTTTATTATTTCATTAGACCATAATGTGTTAAATTGCAGTAATTCCAGACAGACAAGTTGATCCAAACTGTAAGTTTATGAAGATGGTTATTTATTACCTGCTTCAAGACAAAGCTTGTCCTCTTCATAATTGTCTGCCTCATCATCCAAAGGCAGATTAAAAGAGACAGAGTAATTTCAGTTGGAGCAGGGTCATAACAGCAGCATAATCTTCAAGCAAACAGTGAGATACTTTCAGACTAAAACAGAAATATGAACACCACCAACTCTGTTCTTTCAGAACATTTAACCACAGGTACTTTTTGCTTGCTTTGTTCTAGGAAAGATTCCACCTTATGGATGTTCCCATAAGATGAAGACAGTCAAGATAGCTGAGAAAAAAAAAAGTTAAAAATAAAGGAGTGTCAGATTAACAAATTAAAAGCAACCTTTGGTCACACCCACTGTTTTTAATTTGTCCAAGTTTTGTTAAACACTGATAAAAAGACCACAAATGGTTCACAGAGAGACTGAATGATGAGCTCAGTGTAAAAAAAAGGTCAGTATAACCATGATACACAAATGTAGATAAAGATTCAAAGCAACCTCTTTACTGTATACTTTTTTCTTGTGCAACAAACACATACATATAATAGATTTAACTCCCTATTAGATTTGTATCCTTTCAAATGGGTCAAGAGAAACTTTAGTGCCACTGGGATCATTAAAATCATGGACTGGTTGCAATTCATGATAAGATGTGAATCTGTTTTTCTGAGTTTCCACACTAACTTATTGTAAGCTACATAATTTCCATACATTTCCAGGTTATAAGGAAAGGTTCTTCAGTCACCTGAATTTCTTCTAAGCCAGCAGTAGGTGACTGGATAAGAGTAACATGCCTGCCTAAAGGAACTGGGCACCAGGAGACTGTCTAGGCCCTTAGGAATATCCATCTGTCAGCTGTCCATGTGTCATGGAATCACACCATATTGGTCAAAGGTTGCACTCAAGGATCCTGGAGGTCTTTTCCAACCTAAATGATTCTATAATACAGGTAACACGTTTTCGATTTTATACTGAAAATTAGTCACAAACTCTAGACAAGGAACAGAGGAGACATTCTTTAAACAACAAAAAGAAAAGCAGAAAACCCCAGAACTTTACTTTAAAAGCACCTGTGCAAGTACAACCCTTAAATATAATCCACTTTAAAATGTAAGCATTTTAAGCACAGTGACCATCTACTGTTGTCTTTACAAACTCACCTTCAAACTATGAAATTGCTGCTGACTCAGTCTTCTGCTTGGCAAGTCTAACCCAAGGATGCAGGCTCAAAGTTAACCAGGAGTGTGCAAAATGTGTACCATCTCCCCACCTAGGATTTATGCCCCAACACCAGAGTTGGGAGGCAATGAGGGGAGGAAAAAACAGAGGAAAAAAAAAAAGAAAAAGAAAAAAAGAAATAGTCTAGAATTTATTGTGCAAATAATTTGATTTTCAAAAGCCTTGCCCCAGGCTGTAATGCCAAAGCACTGTGACAATATCATGAGACAGACATTGGGAGGCTGCTTTATGTCAGCTCTGCCCCCTGTCCTGCACCACTTTTCAAAACATTTTAAGGAGCCAAACTTCTTGGCTCTCACTGTTGTCTCATACAAGGAGTGAGCCAGACATTTCACCACTGGTAAGAGCAAGACAGCTTGAGGATGGCAACATTAAAAGAACAAACCAAAATCACAAACAAAGCCCCCCCCCCACCACCACCTTCATGCATCGATACCAAGGTTTGGAGAAGCTTTGGCAGGAAGCACAGATTAAAAAAATAATCCTCTGTGTGGGAGCAGAACCTTTCAAATTTACCAAGTATTTCATAGAGCTAGATAGATTCCATGTAGAGAAGTAATACAAATTAATTAAATAAATGAGATATTTTACCGTTTACTTGGCCTGTTTAACCAGTAGGGGAGGTATCTTAAACATCAGGCTTGAGTCTTTCAGAGCAGATCTCACAGTACAACAAAAGCAAGTGAAGGAACCAAAAGACATAGTGTTATGACCGGTTTTTGGTTTGTTTTGTTTTTAAAGACTGTCCCCTGTGGTTGCAAGCTCCCAAGAATTAAATTCTATTCAAATTCAAAAGCAGGAGGAATCCTCTATAGCCATGACACTTGCATGAAGTTTCAGTCAGTTGCCTTTACAGCTGCAGTAACTTCAATTTCTCAGGAAAAAAATGTGCATAATCGTCAAAATAGCCACCTACCACTAATGAAAAGGTTTGGGCAGAATGCTGAATTGTGAAGTCAAAAATGACATGAAAGTTCTACTGAAGGTGTAACTAAAATATTTGCAGCTTTCATGAATAATTTCAGAATGTATATAGTCCAAAGCTTCCTGTACATGTACTAAAATTTAACCCATTTCTTAACATCTCTGATTTAACCAGTCTGAGTAAGAGGTTAAAATGTGCAAGAGTAAAGTGATTCCTGCCTCTCCCTAAGGCAGTCATTAAGTTCAGGATCAGTTAGCAACTGTGATGTAAATTTTTATCTAGAAAAACAGGTAAATAAGGTCACTGCAAAATTTTGTGAAACCACAGTATCAAAAGTGACAGAGCAGCTGTTCACTCAGACAAAAAATATGCCAGAAAATACCTATGTAGAGGTAATGTCTCTTCTTCCTGCAGTAGATAATACAAAGAAAATTCATTTTCTACACAGAATATAGGCCAGCAGAACTGAATTTGAAAATGAAGAATACTTCATCCTCTATCAACACCTTACCCATGAAAAACTATCAGACACACACTGACCTGGCATTCTGACCTTCAAAGCATATTTCAGTGTCAATTCTATTTTTAAATTAATTGCTGGGAAAAGGCATGAGTCACAACCCTGCTTGGATCCCCCTCCACTGGACACTCACCAAGGGCTCTGTTTATTCTGAAGTTTCCCAAGTCAGAACAGGATGTAGCATTACTACCTCAGTGTGGAGAACAAGGACCTCACAGTTCAGTTCCCTAAGCAACCCAGGAATACTGGCCTCTGGATCCATCTTTATCTTCCCAATTTGGCAAAGATTTTTGTTGCAAACATCAGGAAGCTCTGGAATACTCCAAAGTGCATCCCTCTAACAGAAAGGGATCCCACTTCCTCAGCTGTGTGCTAACCTACAGGCACCTTGTTTATGGTCAGGTTGCAGCTGTTACTCCCCATCTGTTGGTCCAATTCCCTCACACTGAAGGTCAACCAAATCTAAAGAGAAGCCTCCCTGAAGCACAGGTGAGAAATACAGGCTCTGCAGTTAAAACTAAGTCAGGTGCACTCAATATAGGTGGTATTTGAGGGGTCCTACAGCCAACCAGCTGGAGAAACTCACTGCTCAAACACCCGGAAAATGGGAAATGTGCACGTGATAAAGAACACATCCCACAAATGCTGATGGAGGAGGTCAGCATACTGTGTCCTACAGCTCTGTGCACTGCCCAAATCCAAAGTGTAGGAGCAGCCAAACAACCCACTGCTAGCCAAATGGGCTGCTCACAACAGTGGACAAGTTAACAAAGAAGTGGAAACCAGAATCTATGGTGATGTATCCAGTCAAATTTTGATTTCCCATTGTCATCTACTTCATTCCCTCTGAAGCATGAGATAGTTCCATACTTCACTGTGGGCACTGTGGGTCTCAGAGCCAGTCAGGCCCATGCTGCTGACTCACCTACGGAAATCCTTAGTGGTTTGATTGGCTCCAGGCTCTTCATTACAAAGAAGCCTTTTAAGACATCAGAAATAAATCATCTGCCTGGTTGCCTTTAATGAAAGCACTGTTACACAGGAAAAAGAGGGAGGGAGTATGAAACAATATCCATGTGGGACAGCGAAACCAAAAAAGAGGGATGTCCGAAGAACAGAATGAAAGACTTGAGAATTAAGTCAAGAAGAGAAACAATAAAGCAGTATGGAAATGGAGCAGGAAGGTATAAACAAGAAAGTTACAAATGGAATGAAAAGCTAAAGTGACTATTTTTTGTGAAAGAGCAAACGCCTCATTAGGACAAAGAGTTAGTAACATATTCCCATGTACCAACTTCCCATTCAACAATCACGAGTTATTTTAGTGCATTACAGCTGTACAACCGTAAGAAATCATTTCCACATACTGTTGAGGAACATCAAAAGCAACTAACAAGTCTGAAATCAATCTCTCTTCTCTTAAAAGTCTCCCAGAGCAAGGCGTTGTAACAACTGCCCCAAGTATTCCCTATTAACAATGGAGAGGAGCCCAGGCTGAGCTGCTCAGGGCTATGATTCATTCATGGCACTCTGCCAAAAAAATAAATACATTCAAGACCAATGGCCCCAAGGGGAAAGGTAGGCCACTTCTTAAAAGGCAGAGAGATAAATGATTTACAGAACAGAATACAGATGAAGATTTCAGCTTATATGGATGACGAGGAAGGACTTAAGATAAGTCTCTCAAAGATTTAGTGCACAGACTCAGATACTGGCAATGTATCAACAGATGGAGTGAACTAGGAACTATTAAACTGGGATTTGCAAAACTCTCTCCAAAGAGCAAGAAGCGACCCATTATAGTGCTGTACACAAAGGAAGTTCATAAAGCCAAATCAAGACACGCAGGGGGTATCCAGCAATGTAAGACAAACATGACCAGCTCAGGTTACAGGCAAACTTCAGTAAAGTAACACCTGTAGAGGGGCAGAGCAATCCACGGCAGGACAAACAGTGTAAGGGTTGGGAGGGCCTGATGCCACACAGCATCTGCTGTACATAAAAATGGTTAATTAGCTGCCAGATAGCAAGCAGTACGTTACCTTTTTTTTTTTTCTAGGAGAACCTTATTTCTTGAATAAATGCCCTTGCTCAGCTAGCAAGGTGCAGGATGAAGACTGCTGTTTCACTGCAGGAATGAGGCCAACTCATTCTCACATCACAGACTTGTCTTTGCCTTCTAATGTTTTGAAGCACCATTTCAGCAGCAAGCAGCTTCTGAAACGCCAAACCCACTCTTAAATGTGTCTTACTTTAATATTCAGGACATTATCTTTGACTGTATTACTAAGGGTTTTTAAAGAAAGCTGCTCTTTCAAATGCTTCCCTAGAGTTACAACTGCATTTCATCATTAAAAAATTCCCCAAACTCACCAATAGTGAGAAACTGCAGAGAAGGAGAAACACTGAGCTTCTCAGGATACAAGACACCCCCACAAGATACTCTATTTAAAGTTCTGGTGCACACATATCTCCAAGGCATCCTCTCTCAACAGAAGGGAAAACAGCCACAACTTCAAGGTAACAAATAAAAATCACCAGAGTGAATGAGCTGCTAGAATCCAGCCTCTACTTATGTGGCAGCTGTATCCCAGGAGGGGGTCAGCCATGTCCAACTGTACTGTACAACTCTCTACATCAAGGATTTGTACAATTTTTTTTACTCCTGTAGATTCAAGGCCAAGCTATATGTTGCCATTATGTCAAAAAGGAATTACATCCCTATTCAAAAACAGTGCTAACCTATGCATTTTAAGTCAAGCATGTGATTAAATGCTCTGCTAATAGGAATTCTCAACCAGATGTTGAGCAATCTTATGACACATGACCCCTCTCAACCAGTGCTTGAAGCAGTTACAATTTATGGTTTCCTATCCTGTGGTGCTGTTATTTAACCAGGTTAAAAAGCCCCAGTCTCACCTCTTTGTGTTAAGGAAACAAAAGAAAAGAGTGCACGGGTTCGTCAGGATGGTTTTGTTCAATATTACTCCCCAGAATGCCTTATGATGTTTAAAACTTCACTACATTCCACTATTACAGGAGGAAGGAATGAGCTTATTAAAATCTAAGTGTCTTAGTTTTGCCACTGCCTCTTTTTTTCTTAATTTGGTCATATTGCTTATTCTATGGAAAACTTTTAGCTCCATCTGTGCACCACAGATGTCCTTTTGTTTTCTGTCAGCCTGTAGATTTCTATGCAATGCCTAGTAAAGCCTGCATCCTTGAGGGAATTATGGGAATCAGAAATGCAATAGTTACATTTTCATTTATGGACACAAAGAAGAAATAAATGAGGCAACATCTGCAATAACATTTTAGTTGTTAGCCTTAATTATCTGGTAATGTATTCAGTATATGGAATAGATTTCTAACAGTCCAGTGTGCAGCAACTGGCACTTCTTAAAAACACAAAACCAACTCCGTTTTTCTGCTTACAGTTTTCATTTTCCAAAAGTTGACTAGAGGAACAGAATTCACACAGAAAAATACAGGTTCGCTAGGAATGATCTCTCTGAATTTGTCGAGGACAAATCCTCACCAGTGGTTGGTGTCCTCTTCTTTGGAAGGAGCGAAGGCTCTCTTAGACCCCTTCCCACACAGGCCTCAAAGAAAAAGAACAAATTACGAAAGATAAATACGATAAATACTTTTGCTAACTACTTATGCAGAGGGATATGTTTGAAATTGCCCCGTTTCCTACAAGGATAATTTATGTGCTGACAATTTCAGTTTTCCAATTTTTTTGTATCCTAAGACTTTCACAGATGAGGACTTCCCTCCCTCCTTCCCTCCCCAGATACTACCCTGGACCCTACTAAAAATTTTCTAACACCAGATAAAAAATCAGTGTTCTGTCTATGCTGCTGCACATGTGCCCAAGTGTTTTCCTACAGAGCATTTCATTTGGGACCAACTAATCAAAGCTGTCACCTCGTTAGATGACTAAACCAGGCAGTTCTCACTTCTTACCTGGTAACTCTTTCATTCAGAAGACCATGGCTCCATCCTGAATCTTTTCTCAGGCTGTTCATTTGTCCAAAAGCTTTGTATCTTTGGGTCTGTTTCTAGCACTGGGATCAGTGTTTTCTGTTCTTAAGAGCTTCCCACCGAGCACACCTAAGCAAGTCAACATCTGATTTCAGATTTCTTTCACTGGAGCTTATGCTGAAACGTTAAAAATGGTATGGCTACTGTAAGCCCTCACTTAATTAACTCATATGAGGTTAATATTAAGGTGGATAGGATGTATTATGTATAAAAGACTTCTAGATTATCTACAAAGGAACCTCTTTGTGCAAACAAAAAAATCCAGCCAAAACCCAAGTTAAGTTTATTTAAGCAGTGGCTTAAAGCCCCTGGTTACATTTCTTATATGGTAAACTTTTCAAGTTGGGGAATTTGGCCTCTTCCATTAGTAAGGGGGGACAGGGAATGCTAATACCACACATACAAGCATTCTTCATCACCATAAAAAGGGTCATGAGCCTTCTAATATCAGCAAAGGGACATTTGAGGGGATTTGGCTCACACATTCTGGATCTATCACCAATGGGTAATGCAAAGTTTTAGGAATCTACCTATGGCCTTAGAAAATTTCACAGTAATTTCTTTACGATTTCACAGGAATAATATTTTTCAAGATAATAATTTTAAAAAGGGGACACATTTATTTCCTGACTCTGGTTTAAAATTTCAAACTCAAATATTTAAAAATAATCAATATTTTAAAGTTGTCCTATGATTAAAGTAAGCCTGCATGAGTCGTATTACATACAATAGTATATTTTCTGTTGTCTTTCTTAAATTCATGCTTTGAACTGCTCCCTGGAAATAATTAGCAGATAACTTCATTCCAATAATTTAAAGTGAGATCACTAAATTGAATGTAGCTTGAGATAACCCTACTGATCAGATAATACACAAGAAAAAAAAAATACATGCTAATCAGGAAAGATACATTTTATTTCCATTTTTTACCATTAAATTATTTTTATCATTGACATTTTCACAAACAAAATTAAATCTTGTCTCAATTTATTTCTAATAAGATAAACTTCCCACAGTAGGAAACCCACCTGAGTGTGAAAAATATTCTGTTTACAAAAGATCCTCCAAATTTATTGCACCACACATGAAAACTGCCAGAAATGTCCAATCTTTAATGGCACGATTGACACGTTATGTAAAACTCCAATTTTCTTTAGTTTAGCTAATTTTTAAAGGGAAAACAAGTTTCACCTTTGTGGACAGTATTTTCAGGGGAAAAAAAAATAAAATCAAGGAATCAAACAATATGTGCTTTTGTTCATAATATTCCCAACTTCAAAGTGCTTTGACAGAATCTTTTGCCAAACAACACATATTTCATAAGTCTGCACAAGCAGGTCCATGGAATTACGATTTTCCCTCCAACTCTGGCTCTTCTGACAAGGCTGAGCCATGAGTTGGGCAGTTTTCATCTCAGGCTCATAAAAGGATTTTTATGAAAGGATTGAAACCTGACACCCGACAAGCTGCTCATTTCTCTTTCCCACACTGAAAGTCACCGTGGAAGTTTTTTGGATTCAGAATGTCACATGTGGGAAGAAATGTCCTTTCCATAAGGTCTGCCGTGCAGAAGCATCCAGTGAGGATCCTCAGAAGAATTCTAAGGATGAACTTGTCAATGCAGAAATGTGAAAGGACAGTTTCTTATCTACACAAAATTCAGTGGGCTCTCCAGTTCCATAAGTCCCTGAAAGAACTTGATTATTTTGAAAGAGCCTGAGGGTATTTTGGAAAATAAAGCTAGCAATACATAGAAAATTAGTGGCTTTGGGTTTTCATTCATATGTACAATCAATTCTTTTTACTAGGGGTTTCTGAAAATCCAAGCTCTAGTACAGAAGAAAATACAGTTCAGTATTTACAGAGTAGAATTCCTTTGCCCTATTACCAGCAAACTTTCTCCCATTAAAAAGTTCCTATTTCATTCATAAAATTGGGCATGTAAATCATTAGAATGGACTTCTTAAATGCATTGTAATCTTCTCAAGTATGCAAAGTGGCATCTGCAAAATATTTAAATAAAAAGTACCATTTATTTACCCATACATACTACGTCAAGACTCAAGATGTCTTCCTTAACCATCCCTTTGTCATTTTATATAATTTCTTCATACTGTAAGTTACAGATTTCTTTGCCCCTAAAAAAAAAAAGGACAAAAAAAAAGACAAAATGAAAAATATAAACATTTAGGAAGGTTGACTCAGATAATAGTTTTTACTACACCAAGTGAAGTATTTCCATGGAGGAATGACAACCTAATCCATCAGGCGGATATGCAAATAACCTTCATAACATAGTAGCTAATGACACAAAAAACCCCTTAAATAGTATCAAAGCACGTACAATAAACAGGTTCATTCTGAAGGCCTGACAATGTTGTATACAAGCACATTGTACAGACAGTAACCGAGGGATAGCAAATGTAGAGATTCCTGCTGAAACAATTAACTGGTGCAGAGGGAAACTTCTCCTTCACACCAGTGTTTCTAAATGCTACATACAGGAAGGCTTTTAACACACCTGTGTGTACTGCAGATCCTCACCAAACTAATACACTGTGCTTTTTCAAGCCCTTTCTCATCTACTGCAAGGTATGTCCAGCTTAGTAGGATTCCACTCTGGCTGGTAATGGACACCAGCAACCTGCCAGATTCCACTGTGCAAGCAGGACACCTAAGCAGGACTGTTTGGAGGATTCCAGGCTGCTCATTAGCCATGCAGGTTACTTAGTTGGCCATGCCTGTGAGAAGAATCTAGTTGTCAAAGCAGTCTGGCTCTTGAGACAGGAGCCCAATTCCCAGATTCTGGAGATTAGATGAAGAACCTCAAGCTATGCCCAAAGCTATGCAGCCAAAATTTTACTGAAAGGATAAAGGGGAAGGAGTGAGAGGGCTGAACCAGGACAAAAGAACATCCTTCTCAAGCACAAGCAAAGTCCACATGACTGGTAGATAACAAGCTCTACACTTCCACCCCCTCCTGGGCCAATTCCTGGTGCCAAGCAGATGTTAGACAGCCGTGCTTAGTGCCATACACTGGGCACCTGCCTGCCTTGTTGGAGACCAATTCTGTAGCTAGAACTGAGAAGCATCACGCTGATTCCCACCTCAACTACGTATTTAATCAAACCCTGCAGACCATCAGCAGCCCAGGCACTGCTATGCAAAGGCTCTCGAATTAAAAGTGAAAACAGAGATCTGGGTTTGTCATAGGAACTGTGTTGCTGACTGTTAAGGTGCAAATCTGTTCTGGTTTCAACAAGTTGTAAAGTACACTGCAACTTCCTTGAATATTTTGTTATTGCCTCATGCCAACTAGGTAAAAGGGCAGGTACAATTTCATAACTGACAGAATGGTACATCTGCCAGAGAATAAAACTGCTCAATCTGTGTGCTTAGGAGATGATACTGAAATGATGGGTCTGGAACACCAGGCAAGGCACATACCCAGCTGAACTGAAAGCAGCAAAAATAATGAGATGATGACAAGCAGCTATACTTTGGAGACACTGCCAATATCAGAGGTGTACCATGGACCTCAATGTGAAAAGCGTCACGAGGATGTTGCCTGGACCAATTTTGCATTAGAATAACCTGCTGTCACTTGGTTATAACAAACCTCATATGAAGCCAGAATAGCTGCCATACTCTAGCACTCTCCTGCTCACAAGTAGTGAACGGTAAATACCACACCATCACACTGAGCCTACAGTGAAGGCAGGAATGTCTCAGTTTTCATAAAGATACAGCAGCAGTCGTTTCCTCCAAGCATTTAGGAGTTTTAGATAAGAAGGGACCCAGGATGACTCCCACACAATTTGTGAAGTGCACCCTTAGAGTTAAACACTTAAATTCTACCAGCCGTCTCTTACAGACTGAGAATAAACAAAAGACACAGCCTGTTGCTGAGTTTAGTCATCTAGTATTTGTAAACTTAAAACCAAAATACTGTTACTTTTGGCATTTCAGTGGGGTCCTGAGATCCTAGCAAGTGGAGTTACTTGTTTTTCCATCTTTCAGCTTTTTTTGTTTAAAATACTCCCTAAAACAAACAAACAAAAAAACCCCAACATAAGACACAGTGACTTTTCAGCTAACAACACAGTTCAATCACACCCTTACAAATTCAAAACTGAAAAGGGAAGCTTTTAATGCTGCACAAGAAGCTTCAATTTTGACACTTAAATGCAGAGATCAAAAGTATGGTACATTATACTTACTACAATCTTTCTTATGTTTATCTAATTGAACACCTCACAAGACTGACTAAAAATACACAGAAGCAATTTAGCCATAAGGCACACAGTATGACAGACCAGAGTGCAAGGAAAGATATTCTGGAACAAGCACCACAGGTTTAGCCATCTACTGCACTGGTCTTTTCTTGGGGAGAGGGAGGAGAGGAGGGTATGATCATTTTTAATTTGAAAAAGACCTTAGAAAGCAATCAAATGAAGATAAAATATTTCAAGTGAAAAGATACATTCGGTTTTGAGAGTCTAGAGTAGCAAGAAGTCAAACGAGGAAAGGTGCATGCTCTGTTTCTGAGGGTAAAAATCCTATGATAAATACGCTGTATAGAATCAGTTTTACACTTCTGGTGCCTCTAACTGCAATTTAAATAAGCTCAGCTTTATCTTTCGTAAGAAATAATCCATACCGGTATTTTGAACTTACAAACCCGCTGTATCCCATATGTATGCTCAAACTTTTCTACAATTAATAGGTTTTTGTAAAAGCGAGCACACTAATGAAGTCATGACAGGCTTTTCTTTGCAGCACCTCAAATAATAAGTGAATAATCATGTAAATTCCAAGGCGACTCACATATCCACATTGGAATTGCACACAGGGTAAGAATTCCAGTTGCAGAACAAGGCCAGGCTGAGCTCGGGCATAGCACATAAATAAAAGAAGTGATTCCAATCTCCAAAGTTAAAACTGTGTGTATGGCTTTGAAAATGACTGTCCAGTCTCCCAGGTACTGTACATGCAGGATCCAGCCCCTCCAATATGGGAATTGCTCTGACAGGATGGATGGTGTTGTGCCATTCCAATGAAGTCAAGAGTACTTGTGGAAGCGCAGGATAATGTGGCAGACCAACAGCAACGCAGCTGATTCAGCCCTGCAGGACTGGAATTAACTGTGCTGGCACTGCAGCCTGCAAGTCAGCTTGTTCTACCAGCCTGCCAACTCACCCTGCCTCCTGAAGCAGCTCAACAGAAAGAGATTTTTCTCTTTCCTATTTTCCCCCTGCAGGGAGCACTCCACTGAACTCCACCCACCAGAGGCTTATGGAATGAGATACTTACATTTCTGCCCCACCACATTAGCCTGCAAAGGAAAATGCAGGTTTATACATACAGCTGGTTTCTTAAAGCAGCCCTCAGGGTGATGAGTCACATCTGTAGTAAAAGTTAATGGTTGTAATTATGGCTCAGCCTCAGAATCTGAAGCAGTTGACCCACATAAAAATGTCTTTCTTACTTCAGCTATGAATCTAGGACTTGGTGGTTCCACCTCCCCTTCAAATGTTTCCACTATAGGACACAGAACAAAGGCCTAATGCACATGGGACCGAGACCACAGCATCTCAGTGTAAACACAAGTTGTATCTGGTTTTACTTAACAATCTGCACTGAGTTTTTTGAAAGTGTTAGTGTTGTAAGACAGCAATTTGGCTGAAGTCCCCTAAAGTTTCCTGGCAGATATGCCTGGATGTAGTATTCCTTACTTCCTTTTAAAAAGAAAGACTGATGTATGTACTGCTGAAGAGCTGTCATGTGGAGGCAAATAGTTACATACTGATAGTGTGTCATGCACAGACACATGCAAACTTTGTACACATATTCCCAGTGAAGTTGGTGGCAATGCAGTATCTGCTCAGGCAACTGATGAAGACATCAGTTATCTGAACTCTACAGAGTATTTTACATGTAAAGCTGATCCTTTAAGTTTAAAAGAATCCTTGAATACACAAGGATTAGTATACTAATATCTCAATTCTAAGAAAACAAATGTTATTCAGAGCATTTGTGTTAACTTAAAAGTATCTTGAACAAATGCTTCAACTGATGATTTAATTCATAGTATTGTATTTATAGAAAAAATTTCAAGGCTTGCTGCATTCCTCGAGTGAAATATAAAGAAGAAATCCAAGCTAAATAAGTATCAACATCTCCTTCAGAGGAGCTAAATGTAAGAGCTGCAGGGATAGTTCCCAAAGACCATGCAAACCCTGGCTACATGGGAAAACAAATTAAACCATGGTGCCATCTCTAATGAGAAACAGAGAGGCAACCTCACCACAGACTCGAAGAAAAGCACAGGCACATTTTCAAAAACTAAATAGGGCATTTAACAACAAACAAAAACACAGAGCTAGAGCTCAACTTCAAAACCACATTGGCAGAGAAAGATGAAAAAAGTTCTCTTAAATGGGTTGAAATTCTTTATTTTGCTTGTGCTCCTTGCCAATAATGTTAATACCCAGCATGCCACCTCAGCACAACGAATGCTGATTTAACATTTAGCATTCAATTTAGAAATATGCTGTACATTGGACAGCCATGCTATGGACCAGAGTAGGCATTTCACTTTTTTTGGTTGTTAAGGTAAAACAATCAGCTAAGGAAAAGATATTGTGTCCTCCCTTACATTCCAAAAAGAACGATGGCCAGGTAGTGAAAACTAATTCTTCCTCAAACAAACTATTTATACAGTTACTAGAAACAGCAAAAAAAAAAAAAGTCAGAGCTTATTTAATGAAGCCACAGATTTCATGAATCTCTTTAATAATTCTCTTATTTTAAACTACTATTCTTGACCTAAGCATTGCAGAAGGTCAGAGCCATATACTTTTCCTAAAGTCTCTACTAGAAAGTGTGAAAATAAGTCTTAGGGGAACAGAATATTAGACAAGATTTGGACAAAGAATGAAGAAATATGGCATCCTTAGGAATTGAATTTAAAGCTCCACACTTCCCTGTAAGACACATTCCTTGCATGAGTCAAGCAGCTACTCCAATGCAGGAGCCACCCTGTGTTGTGCACATTCTGTGTCTCCAGGAACGTGGAGAGCCCCAAGGACTGGCACAGCCATGGTAGCAGCAGTACTTCTGCCCCTAGGAATGCATTTTTAAATTAAGAAACTGTACTTGAGAGAAAATCTTCATGAGAAGATACAGCAAGATTTAACATAATCATAAGTGTTTGGAGAGAAATATTAAAAAAAAAAAAAAGGCAACAAAAAAAACGCCCCACAAGCAAAAAGCTTTTACTAACTAACTCCTAAACCCATGGACACCCATTCCTCCTCAATTCCAGGGAAAATCACTTAAGATCATACAAACCTCACATCTGAAAAATCCATCAATCCTGAATTCTGTTGCAAATGGTTTTGGCCAGATTCTGGCAGAAGATTGTAAATATGTTTTAAAAAAAGGAACTAAATTGTGCTAAAAGTAAGAAAAATCAACTCCCCTAGGGCCTCCTTGCTCAAATTTGGCTCGTGCTTGAGGCAAAGGATCCAAATTGCTTTGCTTTACCTAAATCAAACCACAAAAATATGTTTTCAACACTAAAACCACCAGCAGAAAATACATATTTTTAAATATGAGTATTATTCTATGTTAACTCGCTGGTTAGGAGACAACTCGAGTTTGTTTTAAAGGGGAAAAAAAAGCCACTGTATATAAAGCAAAAAGCAGTTAAAGGAAAGTAAAGGCATTTCCCAAATTACTAGTTTCAGGTGCACAAGCAGAAAACATGGTAAGAATCACAAGTCCTACAAGAAGATGCATTAGGACCCCACAAAAGTCCCAGTACCAACACAGGCTGTGATTTACTGCATGACATGCAAAAGGAGCTAATAACTCCCAGAGGGGATTTTCTGTCCATCAGAACAGACAGAAGGAGAGCATAAATAACCTAGAAAGCTCAGCTATCTCTATCCCTGCTCTTTAAGTTACACACAAACAGCTTTGCCCTACTGGGCAGTCAGGATAACTTTCCCAAGCACTGGATTCAATAGGATAACACTGTCTTTGACCCCTCCCCTACAATTATTTCACAAAAAAAATCTACACTCCATGGATTTAGGAACAGATAGGATGCAAGTTGACATCTCTAAAAAAGGCATGTTATAATACCAGAATTCTTGACCACTAGCAGGTGATTTTGACAACAAACCCTAGAAGAAAAATGTACCTATTTGGTTGGAAACCTTACATTAGAAACTAACATCTGCCATGTGCTTAATTGATATATAACAAAATTGCTTTACTTAGATGGAGTTCTGCCTCCTCCAGCTACTAAAAGTTAGGCAATAGTTTTGTCAGACTTCTTCCATTTAATAGAACTAAACCATTAACAGACACATATAAAAAGTAAAAGTGTTCCTGCTTATTTTACTCAGCAGACCTGTAATGGTTCTGAACACTGAAAGCTGTGTTTCTTTACTAGGGGTAGGAGATGTAACATGGAGTCACCAACACCAATGGAGGGGAACAGCCTCTGTAGAAGTCTGGATAAGGATTGCTCAGTAGGAACCTCTATAGCTGCTTTTAAAACCAGTACTGGCATCATTTGTATATAATTGCTTTTGTGGAAGAACTAGGAATAGGTATGAATGAGTTCAGAAAATTATTTAAGCAACTTCAAGAAAGCATGAAGCCTTTTTAATGCAGAAAGCGCAGAACTAGTGCATATCAGCCAGATCTGGCCTGCATAGAAAATTAAACTGAACTCAGAAGTTGGTTTTTTCCTTACTTTTGGGTTGTTGGGGGGGTTGTTTATTTGTTTACAACTTGCACAGACTCCAGTTCCTTTTAGCATTTTACAATTTTGCAACAGTTACAATAAATCTTCTGCTTTAAATATTACTTTTATCTTCCAGGGGCTTTCAATTAAATGCGCTAACAGTTTAAAGAATAAACTCCTGTAACAAGATAGTCTTGGGGCCCTGTAATTTTTCCTTTGTGAAATTAAAAGACCTATGTTGATGGAAATCACACACATTCTTACCAGCTGTCAGTATGGTTTTAGCACTCTGCACTATACTGGAAGATCTCACAATTCCTGAAATGCCTGCAGAGAGAAAAGCACACAGATGTTATCCATCTTAGCAGTTTTGTGCCGATTTTTTTTTTACCCTCCAACATACACAAGTCAAATATTGTTCCAGTTATACAATCAAGCCAGCCTGAAAGTAAAACATACACTTATGCTGACAATGTTTTGTTTCTGCTCTGCTTTGTCATATTAATTGAAAATATTCTCTAAGCTATTTTATTTTATATATAACATACAGGAAAAAACCCAACCAGATCAATATTAAACCAGACAACAACCGGTAGGAATTGATCAAATAAATATATTTAGAGGTCCCACTACATCTCTACTAAGATAATTAGTCACAAAGGATTCAGAGTTGTTTCATCTAAGTGCTGGTGTATCAACATTCTAGAACAGAACAAATTATACTTCATGATTACTTCAATATAAAATTGGGATTTTGCACTTCTCTGATCAAGTAGAGATGTCACTATTGTGCAGAGCTTGTCTGGCTTTTCTAAATTATCAGCTTTGAAAGATAAGTCCCATTTACCACTTTGCACTGTGCCACATTCAGTTCTCATTGTCCTGTGGTTCTTAGGTATTAATGGAAAAGTATATAAAACGTAAAAATTTTTTTTTCAGAAGTATTGGTATGTTTGTTCTAACACATAAAAGCATACTGATATGTAAAAAAGTACTGCACGTTACTAAATACTTTTAAAAAATGTAGGAATGCAGTAGTCTCAGTTAGGCTTCCAAACCGAAAGATATTATCCTGCATTAACCACCTAGAATATAATTTCAAATATTTTTAAACCCCTCTTTCAAAGCTATTTCCATAATGAAGAACAAAGTTTAGTGTAATCCGTTAATAAGTAAGAGGGATACAATGTTCCACTGAAAATAATTTGAGGGGTAGGGAGGAGAAAGGAAGAAATCATATTGATCTAGCAAAATATCTACGGATAATGCAATTCAGATTGAGTAATCAGCTTTGTCTTGTAGGATTCCCAAATGGCTTGTCCTGGCCTTCACTCAGACTGATGAATTAGGAAAATCTTTTGGCCACTAAAGTGAAAGAGGGGTTTTGATTTGTTCTCCTAAGAGTTTGAACTGCTTGGCCTGAGAAGACCAGATCTATTCAGTGTTTTGATAATGAACTGCTGCACCACTGTGCACAGCCACAGCCACGCCTGCAAGACCCTAGAGAAACACAACCACAAGGATGATGAGCTCAGGGGGGATAACCTGGAGCTCTAAAATCATGTGCAGCTCACAACACTGCTCCTGGATTCAGCTTTTATCCAGTTACTGTTGTAGCCCAGCACAGAAGGTGCCATAGACTGTCATGAAAGAGCTGGACACCTCAACGTCCAGATGCAATTCATCCTATACTGCCAGTGGAGAACTGCAAGTCTCAGGAGCTTTATTCCCCCAAACAGAAGACAGTCTAAAAGCTCCCTCAGCAGTTGGAGAGTGTCTAGTGGCTCCCAGGCACTGTAGGGAACTTTTGCTGTGCTCAAGGAGCTTGCAAAATTTGCTAACTGGAACTAAAAATCTATCAAGTACTTCAAGTACTAAACATTTTCCTTTTTCTGCAGCATATAAAAACATTGATGTCTGCAGCATTAGCTTTAACCTGCTCATATGACATAATCTTGCCTCAGAGCAGCTGTGATGATGAGACACACCTCAATCTTTTTCCTTAAAGCTTGAGTTCTCTGCCAGAGCTTGCATGTCTGGACTAACCAACATGATTGGGAAGGGTAATGTCAGCAAGACAGAAAATTAGCTTATCCTTGCAATGTGTGACTGGTAGGACACATAGCTCAGTATTTCGATGAAGTTATGCCTAAAGGTGTAAGCACTACAGAGTTAAGACAGTCTAAGCAGGCCACACTAATCCCTAAAGACTGTCTCTTCCAGGACCCAAACCAAAACATATCTTCCTATATCACTAGGAATGCTACTTGCTAGTTTTTCAGATAACCTGTTTGCAATCAAAGAAGTCCGAACCCATGTTTTTAAGAAGGTATCTCGTGATTAATCTCTTGGGTTTTTCACCCTTCTCTTTAAACCATCCTTCTGAAATAGAAAAACAGATACAGATACCGATTTGTACCTCTATCATGTGTTAAAAGAGATTACAGACACTGGTTAGGCCTACCTTGATGCACCACAAATCCACAGTCAGGGTCATGGGCAACTTGCAGTAAAATTTCTTCCACATCTCTGTTTTTTCCAGGAGGGTTTACCAGAGAAGTTATCTTTTGCTGCAGAGTCTTTGGCAAAGCCATTAGTTGTGTAAATTGACCTTCTGGACTTTTATCAATCTGAATGTTATAGAAAATAAGACAGAAAAAACCATTCAGTTCTCTTTATCTTAAAGAAGTCCGAAAATTCTTCTGGCTATCTTTGACCTCTGAGAAATATCTCTCAGAACCCAATCTATGTCACTAGCACAAGTAATGGACATTTGTAACGAAAATTTCCCAAGCACAGGGAAATGCAGTTATCTCAGTTCTGAACCTGAAGAATAACTCAATGCAAAGATGTTAATTTTCATTAAAGACATACATGATCTTCCTGTCTCTGTAAGTAACTTTCATTGAAACTGTATAGTTTCTGTTATATCCAATTTCCTTTGGAAACATAAGTACACTACAATTAAAAAAAATTCCCAAAAGACCACTTAGCTCAGTTTCTTCTGCCTGAATATAATCAAACTGTAGACACACACATTTCAAGTTTAGTTTGAAAACCATTTTCTCTGCTTTAAACTCAAACCACATCTGGTTTGTAAAATTTGAAGAAAACATTCATTCCACATTTTCCAATCTAAATCAGAAATTCAAGGACCCTTTTTTGAATACAACAATGCCAATGTACAAGCTTGTACATATTTATACAGAGTGTAAGCACAAACACTGAAAAATGCATGATGGAGCAGATCTCTCCAAAACTGGAGGAAAATATGAAGAGCTCGGTTCCTCCCACACAACATCTCAGACACTTCATGGAGACATCAGACAGGAGTCTAGTTCCCCTATCCATTCCCTTTTGTCAGTGTGGAGAAAATGATCTCCAGATGAATCACTCCAGAGGCAGCCGACGATGAGCAGGCTCTGAGCATTATGTGGGAGGAATCCACGCCTGAACCAAAACTGTGAGAACTAGTGTCTGTCTTCAGTTGGTTTTGAGGAATCTTTTAAGAAAGAATTTTCTCTGTAACTCTGAAGACATATACTTGGAGAAGGGGGTTCTATTCTGCATTAAACTGCACTCCTGAGAGCAGACATTCACCTCAGTCTGGGTAATAACTGCCAATAATCACACCAAGGTGTGAACAGTAGAATATTAAAGCACCTTACTTCAAATCAACAGTGAAATAATGGCATTTAATCAACAGCCTTGATGACAATTGTGGAATTATGGACAGATTTATTATCCAATAGCATATTTGCAGTATGTTATCAGGATTTTTTTTAAAGGTAAAACAACAGGAAGTATTATTGTAACTAGCCTTTTTCTTGAAGAAAGTATTACTGATCCTTTTCAAAATTAATTTAAATATTTCTTCCACTGAACTGTTGAAGAGTACACTGATAAGAAAATATGGAGACAGCTGCAGTGTAAGACAGAACTGCCTATGCTGTACTCCAAAGCACTGCAGAACAATTTTTTTACTGTACTCAAGTCTGCTTAAAACTGCACTTATATCAGTTTCTAACAAAGACACACCCTAAAAGGAGGCATTTGGGAGATAATTACCACAGTGACTCGAGGATAAGACTCCATGAGACAACCCATGCTATTTGTAACTTCATGTTGAAGTTTATATCACACTTGAATGTTCACACATGGACATGCAAACTACAAGAGGAAAACTGCTACTGGACCCCTGACTGTGTAGCATCTCTCCCCTAATTCCAATGTTATACCAGAAGACCGAATTCAAGATACTGGTCATTTTGGATTTCCCAAATACTAAGGATAGAAATGGTTTAGGATGGGTATTTAAAGATAATGTCAGAATTTCACTTAGGTTTAGTCAGCTGATCTTCACAACTAGCACTTGATGAGCTTTTTTTGTGAGATGCAGTTTTTGATTGTGGAAAGTTGCACCTCTGAGTTACAACCTAATCTTTTTAACATAAACCATATGCTCATTCATCACTGCCTAGACTGTTGTGTCCATGTGGTAGTCATTAGAACACGTGTTTTACAACCATCTTCTCTTGTTCCTTTGCTAGGGCTCTAGTTCTGTGCCCATACTCAAAGAAAATGAGCAGTAGTTACTACATATGCAGAGACTGGTATTTAAGGCAAATCTTCCGGTTGCAGAATTAACTAAACAACAGAAACATAACATAAAGCAAGTACAGTGACTACAACTGCCCTCCTTAGTGCACAGCATAATTCCTGCCTTCTGTCAATGTGATAAAGCACTTCCACCTGTTTGTTTTAAAAATGTTTTGAAGAACACTTGCCTCTAGCCTTCCCAGATGGTGCTTATATACCACTTGGGGGCAGTCCTGTAATATGGTACTGTACAGCTTCTGAAAATGGGGAATGTTGGGTTTCACTATGTTCTGCACTTTCGATCTGTCTTCTCCTATTATCATTCTGAAATCACCTGGTCAAGAAAAGAGACACAGTTAATTCATTAGGAAAAACCCAAAAACTCAGAGAAGGAGAATATAACAGAAATCAATATAGTAAAAAGCTGTCATCTAAAGCTTTATTCTTCAGTTCTACCAATGCCTGCATTGGTAGAACAAAAGGTTCACCTTCTATTAGTCAAAAAGCTATTCAAATATCTTCAAGCACAGAAAATACGTGCTTAGAGTCAAATATTGTTTTGTGGCCTCTGATATGCTGTAATATCATCAGCCCATATGTCCACATTTTCACTTGTGGACGACGAAATAAGTCCAGCTGTCAAGTGGCAGTAGCAGTTACATTCTTTGCAATGATACATACATTTCAAAAGACTACTAAACAAACTGACCAGTTCTAATACTTTGTATCGACAAACAAGTAAGCTTAATTTTCCAATATTGAGAGAAAATAATTTGCATTATCTCTGCACTTCAAGGACAGTACCTGAAGTTCACCTAATGGCAGTCATGGTAAGATTACTGTATTATCTTTTCCTCTTAGCCATGTATTTTGTTATTAGTCTCAAAAATCAACTGCTTTTAACACCACTGTTACATCACTGACCTTTACACTTTCTCTTCTGATACATGACTGAAAAGTTTTAGAGAGAATAAGTGAAAAGACAGCTAGTATGTAATAACTACCTCAGTTAGGTAATAGCCTGGTAACTTCCTGTGTTTCTAACCAGGAGTTAGAGGCTCAGTGCAGCGTGTATCAACAAACAAAATCCTGAAACAATTCATTTTCCCACTTCCCACATTCAGGAGACAAATGTTATTGGAAGATGGCAACTTGCTAGCCTTACTTAGTTTATTTCAATTCATGCCAAGCCACAAAACAAAACACTTTGCATACAAATGGTACTGACTCACTGCTCTCAAAAAAATGCATAAAAAAATAAAGGATAAACATTTTCTAAATCAACTCTTTTCAGCAGTCTGCAAGGAGATTAATTAGAGTAACACATAAAATCAATTTTGTCTACTAGTACACTCTCTGAAAGACTTAAGAAAACGGAAGCAAAATAAAATATTCACGAACATATAATCAACAGCCTTTTCCTTGAACATTCGCAACTGGGAATCTTACTGCTGCTTTAGCTTTGTTCACACAGCAGAGCCAATTTCAACATCTTATAGCATGGTAACTGATCTCCCATGTTTCTGTTTGATTGCACTGTTTCAAAAACTATATAAAAAAGTATCTCGGTCACTAGTGCCCACCAAGAATGTAATGCCATTGCTGGGCAGGTTTCAGGTGGACAGGTCTGCAGCCCTGCAGCAAACAGCCTTGGCTGGCAATCCCATTGCCAGCACCCTCTTATTGTCACTTTAAAACAGGTACCAATTCAGAAAAAAACTACTATGGAAAAGCTGAAAAAGCAGCAATCTAAACTGCTCAGGGAAGTATTACATAAAGAACAGTAACACTCCTCAGTAAAGCCAAGCTGCAGCTTATAACCCCCACCTGCCCACCTGTGATTTTTTAAAGCCAAACTTGTATTTTCTACACAAGCAAAGGAAGTGCTGCATAAAGGAATCAAACTTGTTCATAGTGATTTCAATAAGGATATCGACATTTAAAAAGCAATGCTGAATTAAACTGTAACAACCAAATCTTACATTGAAGAGCCATTTGTAGTAGTTTCCTCAATTGTTTTCCATACTCACTTCCTAACTAAAGAAAGGAGGAAATTCTCTTAGCAAATAAAAAAAAAGTCAACAAATACTAACCAGGAGGTAAATGTTAAATATACATTGAGGAATCATAATCTGGATCCTTAAATTAACTAAATAAGAACCTTAAACACATCACGCTCAAAAAGTAAGAGATGACACGGTATGAGTCAGACTATAAGATGACTCAACATTACACTGAGAGCGGAAAGAAATTTTTTTCCAAGGTTTTGAAACACTAAACCAAAATACAATCCATACAAACAGAAAAAACCCCACATCATTTCATCATATTCAGTCACTCATAGTTAGCTGTTCATAAATCAAGCAGGTATAAGAAGCTTTGTTTAGGTACCTACACCTATTTCCTAAGAATAAGCCCAATTAGTCATTTGGAGCTGTTATGTAACACAGCATTCAGATACAATTTCTGGAGCATGCAGCAGTGTGGGCCCAAAGCAAGAGGGCAAATGACTTACTACACATGAGATTTCCAACTGTGGTACAACAGCTCCAACTACAGCTTTTCTTCTCGGTGACTTTAGACACCACATACTAACCAGAGTAGGAGAGTCCTGCAATCTGCATATAGAGGTCTTCTTCAGAGAAACTTTCTGGTAACATGAGAAAGGCTGCTGTGACTGCACTCTTCAGGTTGCTAACAAGAGCAGCTTGCAGCTTGCTATTCTCATTCTGTGTCAGTATTTTCACCTGAAAAAGCAGAGCCATTGGAAGCAAGACTTCAGGAAAGTGCTACTGAAGATGGACTAGAAATGTTACTCAATCCAGCATGAAAACTAAATAAGAAATTTATTCAAAATTAGATCTTATTAGTATGGTATAATAACGACTAGTGTCCCCTTTTGTTTACACCGTGTGAGAAAGAGGAACATCTTCTTAAGAATTAACAGTCTGCTAGAAAAGGTTGGTTTTACAAACAGGTTTGGAAATGCCATATGTTACAGCCATTAGCCAATCTCTGAAGAGCTATTCACCTTTCCATATTCATAAATTTAAGACTGATCAAAACAATAAATATGAATGCATCAACATAAATACTTCATATGTGATTATGCAATAAGAAAAAAGACCACTGTCTCACTGAAAGAGAACGGAAACCAAAGAGCTAAGTTTTAATATTCATCTTCATTCTTTTTTTTTAATAGAGGACTCCCCTACCAAATACTTCTCAGACATTAGTTGTCCTCCTAGAAGAAGCAAGGTTTTATTTTTGCATTTTGCATGAGAAGAATGTGAACTCAACGCAATCTTCATCTATACATGAAGAACTTAACACTTTAACGCTTCCACGCGCCACATGAAGTGTTTGTTTTTAGGAAACACTTTAACTGTTCAAGACCAACTAGAGAAACCAGTCACCTGGGATATGGAAATATACTGGAATAAAAAGCAGATCTTTGGTAAGAACGGAATATAGAAACACACCATTATAGAACATCAGACAGATGAAGTCATCTGGTTTACGAGATGGCTCTATAACTATGCTCTTCCAGAAACAACTCTCCAGGAATCCCTACTTGTTGTCAGTTGCTGTCTTTTTCAAGTGTCTTGCTTATAGAAGGCAGATTTTTTAATATCTGTTTACCCCACAATACCTTAAAATGCAAAGGCACTGGCAGTTATGAACAAAGGTATCCCATTTGTTCTTTCTCCCCAAAAGCCCATTCACACACAAATGCGTTGCAGTATTACCTGAAATTCTGCCCCCAGATATAACCTGAAACAGCTAAGGGACCCTTTCAAGGGTCCTGTTTTTCTTCAGGAATACAAATACCCTGTTAATCAACAGGGTAAAAAACCCAAAACCAAACCCAGGTTCAATAAAGTATGACAGTCAGACATATCTGCTACACACAATTCTTACTATAGAAAGGACACAGCCAAAGCAATGTCATGGCTGACATTGCTGATACTTGGAACATACTTTTTAGTTATGGCAAAATCTTTAAGAGGCATAAAACTTTAATAATATCTGATTTTGATATGATGGTGAATGCAACAGTACAGAGGTTACTTGTTTCAATCATTCTGCACTATTTATTTATTTCCTTGAAAGCCACAGGAGAAGGTTACTGAATGCATAACAGACTTGCTTAAGTAGTTTCAATAACTAAGACATGCTGGTCATGGGGATGAACTAATAAATGTATGTTCATAACTTGCTGCTACAGGGAATCTCTAAGGAAAGACAGAAGAGAGAAGTCTGTGGCACCACAAACACTCATATAGGTGCTTATACCTTAGGATAGCCCTGTAAATAGCACCATGTTATGGACCTGTTTTAAGAACATCACAGTTACAGCCTTTTAAAATGTGAAACTCCAAAGAGATCTTATTCCTCCTTATGGAAGACCACAGGAATTTTTTCCGAGGAAAACAATATGCTAGGCTTCAAAATCTGCATGCCTGGAAACCCTGCAGTGGTGATAAAATTCATTTATGAACAAATTTTAAACAGTTCAGAGAGCTAAAAATCTCCCAGGAAGTCAGAATGCAATAGTTATCACCCTGGTACAAAAAGGCTGGATGTTGATTCTTGGAGTAAATCTGAAAGAGCACCAAAGTTAAGGAAGGCTTTTTCACAGTACAGAGAACTTTTAATTGGATCTATTCACTGTACCATATCACAAATCAAAGTAGCAGCAAATGCAGTTACACTGAAAATAGCTATTCATTATTCATTGTTAATGTGACGTTCAGGATTTTTCCTTCAGTTATTTTTCTCAATGTATTAAGTTTCACTATTTACAGAGACAACAGCTGCTCTGACCTGTATCATGCTACAATACGTCTCTGGAGATAGAGAAAAGCCAATAGTGCTGAGACAATCTATTCAAACTTTCACTCCAAATTTTTAGTTAAAAGCATAATTAACTTCTGTTCTAAGACCTGAAGAGTTCTCCTCTCCTTCTCACCCTCCTGTCTTAACAAATTTTTCCTCAGCCCTGCTGCCATCTGCTGAAACCACTTGGGGAAAGCAAACACCTCCTATTTTTTATGACACAAACACGGAGGAGAAAAACACACGTGTTTAACCCATAGTTCATTCAATTATAAATACTTTAACAATACAATGCACTAGACAGTAACTGCACAGCAAAGCAGCTTTCACCTTTAAAGATTTCCATTATTTACCCACATTAAATTTTGGTGACCCCTATAGTCTCTTATGAAAGGCATAGAATACAATTAACATTAAAGGGACTTTTCATTAATATAGTCCAGTTACCCAAGATTTACTACAGGCAGAAAGCTTTTATTAACATACTTACCTTTGCGGGTTTTCCACATCACACAGAATGTCATTAAGGACTACATTTCACTTCCTTTCTGAGAGATTATCCCTCCAGGGCTACACCTCTGAATCTGGGCACATTATTTGTTCAGTACCGATATATCCTTAACAGATAAAGTTAAAACTACAACTGATCATTTTCCAGCCCTGTAATTTCCTGCATTTCAAGACAAAAAACTGAACAGGTAAACAGTTACCGGCTTTTGTAGGCGCCCAGCGACATAGAGGGTTTTCCAGTGAAATAAATCATCAATCAGGGTATCAGTGCTAATAACACCATATTTTATCATCTGGGAAAAAAGCAAAATAAAAGCTTTTGAAAAAACATACCTATACCTTTTTCACTACATGAAACTTACTACTTCCTGACATAACTGTCATTCATTCTAAAGAACACACACCTCCAATAAAAAACTGTAAAACATTTTCATGTTTTAATTAACAGAGGAGGTAAAAGAAAAAATTCCTACTTACATGCAAACTTCTGGGAAAAATGGAATGCCTGGAACTCTAAGATCTTTTCTAGAATCAAAGCTGCAATAAAGTTTCCAGCCAAGTGTTACAATATTTTGATTAATCCACAGTATCCTTTATGATATTGAAAATACTCAAGAAATAGTTTGTCAGAGATCTACAACTTGCTGGACACTTGCTGGACCACTTACGTAGAATTACACCCAAGCCTCACAGGTCAGGATTGCCAACACCAAAGAACATAGGTGTCAGTTCCAACTTGCTATGTTGCAATTTGCATTTTATGCCAAACAAACAGTAAGAATCCACTTAGCTATTACTACATGGTCCACTGCTGAAGTTAAGGGCCTGTTTTCCCAGAATACACTGTACCACCACCAAAGCTGGCAGACAGCGAGTAATAAGGAATATAAATACAGTTTCTGAAGCGCTTTAGCTCTAAGTTCCAAACATTGCTCAAACTTTTAAGGCGCAAGAGCAGCTGCTCTGTTTGCTTTTTAATTAAAATGCTGTTTGTGAAGCAGTTTTGAGACAGAAATATTGAAGATACCATGAGTTAATCGACAGCTACAATCTACAAGATTGGCTTCCTGAAATTTGCTTTAAGCTAATCATTTCAATACTTCACACAGACAAATATTTTACTTAATTTGTACTTGTACAAAGACTAATCATACTTACCCTACCATTACATGGCACTAAAGTGTTGTAGTAAATTCCTGCTCCGTAGCTCTGCATACTAGTTATCTGTTTTGGCCCAAAAAATTTTAGGAAGGAATAATGACTCCTGTTCTTTAACAAGTTCATCATATGCCAGGTCACAGAATCATCAACAGCAAATACGAAATCCAGCATATTGTTCTGTGGACGAGGAGCAGAGTGTTGGGGGTTACACGTCAAGAAGCAGCCAATGTTAATCATAATAACCTAAGATATACACAATCATAATAATCTAAGATATACGTAGTATTAAACTTCCAGCTAATAATTTGTCACAAGAAAAATATAAGAATAAAGCCTAATACACAAGTATTAAAGTCAGATACAGTTTAAAGATTCAGATAAAGTTGTGTTTTCTTGTCCGTTTAGCAAAGACTACTCAAAATTTTCCTGTGCTGGTTGTGACCAAATTTCAACCCTCCAAAACAGAAGAGCAAGTGTAAGATCTCCACCACCTTAATTCACAGCTCAGCGGAACAGCTGACACTGCTAATGAACAGGACTTTTGGCAACTTGCAAGGCCGTGAATTGGGGGATGTGGGCAGATAAAGGCACCTGAGAGCTGGCAACAAGTGCATTTCTAGCATATTCCTTTGCTTTTGACAACAAAACAATCCAAACTCCAAAGATTTCTAGTGTGCAGTGTATGTACTGCTCTTCTGGAGAAACCAATGCACACACTGCCTGCACACTGACAGCACAAAAGCTTGGAACTCATACCTGCAACACACCACTATCTGGAGTGATGTTGCTTCAAATGCACTAGGATTGCCTCTCTGTGGCTTATTAATTGTGGGCAGCATCTCGGCTAACCCATTAATACCACTAAAAAGATAATCTTTCTTCCTATTCTTTTGTGTGACAATGAGATGCTGTTAGAGCTCTGAAATTCTTGTTATCCCCGTTTAAAGAAAACGAGGCACATTTAAAGTCACATTTGTGGAGACTGCTTAGTAAGTGAAGCCAATAACGAGCAATACTGCTGATTAACAATTTTTAAAAGCTCGAACATAAGAAATAAATAAAAAGAAACATTATTTCCAAGCAGTTGACCCCCAAGCGATGTGGAAGCCCCGCGACTGCCACTTCAGTGTGGCAATATATTTTCAATTGCCCTCATACGGTGCATAGCAGCACCTGACACACAGGAATGAAGGGGACCCCGAGCCCCTCCCACTGACAAACCCACTGCCGGGACCACCCTGGGCCCTCCCCGGCAGCCCGGGGCACGGACCGGACAATATCCCGTAAGGGACAGGGATCTTCGCCCCTTCCCTTACACGAGCCGCAGCCGCAGGGCCGGAGGCGGCTCCAGGTAGTGCGGTGCCCGGAACGCCCAGCACAGGGCCGCGGGGCCCGAGCGCTCACCTCGCCGTGCTCGGCCGCGGCCCCCGCCTGCCGGAACACCCCCGAGCCGTAGGCGAAGGCCAGGCTGAGCTCCTGCGGGAAGTGTGCCAGGACTCGCCGGAACTTCACGGCCGAGCTCGACAGCACCGGCAGCGCCATGACCGGGCACGCCGGACCCGCGGCGGGAGGCGAGGCCGCGGCCAAGCAGGGGCTGCGCCCACGGCGCCCTCTGCAGCCCGGCGGGGGCATGGCGGGCTCGGCCCCGCGCACAGGCTGGCCCGCCCCGGGTGGCGCTGAGGGGGACACGGCCAGGGCTCCCGGCGGGGACACGGCCAGGGCTTCCTCCAGGGTCTCCTCAGGGGTCCCCTCAGGGCGCCTCTCAATGCTCCTTCAGGGCTCCCCTCAGCGAGCTGATGTTCAGCAGGTGGGTTTCGCATTTCGTCTTCCACCACCCTTTTTTCAGTTTAATATTTTTAGGTCCTCGCAATTTTGTGCATCTTCTTTGATTATTTTTTTCCTCCTCCTTGCCTTTTTTAATTATTATTTATCTTTTTTATTCATGTTTTATACTGTTCCAAGGCTTTCCTCAGAAATTATCACCAGCGTTGCAGTTCTTCACGCATTCCCCGTGGAACACAAACACAAAGACCACAGCGTTTAATCATCCTGGTTGTGCTCAGGGTTGTCTCATGCTCTCCTCGTGCTGAGCCTGGCTTAGTTTGAATGTTTAAGTCCTACATAATAAACCTGCCTGAACTCGATGAGAGTGCTAAATGCGTAAAAGTGGCTCAGGAAACTGAAGCGTGTCTTGTTCTCTCATGATTTTGTGCTTCCCTGAATCTGGTTCCCAAAGATCACGTTTTATCTTCCTATGGTTTATGGCTTTCAAAATACCTTCTTTGCTACTATAAAGAAGTCTAATTTCATTAAATCAAAATAGAAGCTAAAGGTCTTTATAGATATTGGTATGGATGGTATTGACCTAGAATGCACTTATTCTAATGAGCAAGTAAAAAAGGGGAAGCTTGTTTGAAAATTAACAGACTGGTAACCCTTCAGTGAAGTTCTACTGTTGACTGATATCAAAAATTAAGGTAACAAAGCAAATTCTTGAGAGGGTATTTGTGTATTAGAAAAAAATCTGGGGAAAAGGTTGCTTGAATATTGCACAATTGTCCATCTCGACCTTGCCAGCTCAAATCCTCTCCTTGGGGCTTCCAAGGTGGATTTTGTTCATATAATTTAAAACCCTTATATTCCAACTTTCCTACAACTCTGCTCTTTGCTATTCTTCCTTGACTGTCTTCTACGTATTTTAGACTAAATTTAAAGTTTGCTTCTTGCATCTACTACTAAGATTTAAATTGGTTTTGTTTCCAGTAGCACAGTTAGTTTTTGAGACTAATAGCTTGTGAACTGGGACAAAATTCAGAACTGATCTGAAAGTTTATGTGGAGGTATCTTATGTGTTGTACTGATTTTGAACTTGGCTTCTAATCTGTTTCAGTGGAACTTTTGCTTGGCTGACTTTGGTAACAAAGTCTGCAAACACCAGAAGGTCTTCAGTTGGATTTGCGGTTTTAGCCAGCACTGCTGTTGAGGGGAGCAGTTTTCTTCTATCCACTTGTATCAGTGTAGGTGTTTGTGTGGCTGCACATCAGAACAGATTGGGGAATTGATGTGGGTTAAAACCAACTGTTTTGGGTTGTCGAGATTTTTAAACCAGTCTAGTTTTAAGCAGAAAACTTGTATGCAAGTGTGTTTTTTGTTTCTACCTTGCCTCTGTGTTCTCCAGCTCCTTCAAATGAAGGAGGCTCACTGACTCTGCTTAGTGTCTGAATTCCAAGACATGTATCATATCTTCCAGGACTGGATCTTCACAGAAGTATCTTAATAACACCATCTTCAATAAAAAAACCCACATTGTCACTAAGTTAATATGGAAATCTGAATACTTACAGTCTGTCAGTCCCAGTGGTTCCTCTCCACGGTACCAGAAATGCTGTGGTTCGGGGGGTGCTGAGTACCTCACTGGGGTGCTGCTGCTGCCCCAGGATGGGCTCATTCATATCTGTGTTTTGCCTCTGTGGATCTTTCTCCAGCAAAACTGACAACTTTGTGTCCTTTTGTTTCTGAGTAGTGGCGATTCTGTCCTACTTTTCCATAGTATGTGCCTGTTGGAGGTGGCACCTCCTCTGAACATGCAGTTGCTACTTCTTGCCTGTAACCTTTATAAATAAAGAGCAATTTTCATAAAGAAGTGGCAGCATCTGGAATCAGCAGCTCATATTGTTTGTTTTAAATTTCTGTGTGTTTCTGTGATTAGACTATTTTAGGTTCTCCATCGCTTCATATTTTATTTATTTAAAGCATGGATTACGTTAATTGTTGCTGGTGCAGCTGCACACCCATCTGAGCTGGCTTGCTGTTTGTTTATGCTGACAACTAAACACCACCAGGTGTCCTCTGTTTCTTTATCATATCTGAATTACCTCCTGGAGATCCTCCTCTGGATTGGAAAATACTGATTTTAAAAAAAAAAACAGGAATGGGGGATAACACACAAACCTTTTTGCTTAGCTTTGACGAGGTCGAGGTGTGAAGCCACTTGGAAGCATTAGGGGATGCGCACTCTTTGTTACATTTTGTTAGTATAGCTTTCCCCTCACTCCTCCAAGCTTATCTGTGTCCCTGTGACTCACCAGTATCCAAGGGATTATTTTCCAACAAGGACAGAGTAGCAGATGGATATTTCGAGTTTTCTCTTCCAGACTTGTTGCTGAAACCAGTTCAGCCATCACCACACTAAGGCTTACCCTTCTCTTGCTGGGAGATTATTAGCAGGCAGCTGTTACAAACAATCAACAAATGGATTTTTGCTAGGCAACAATAGTAGTCAAGATAATATTGAAATAAAAATGAGCATAAAAGTTGGTTAAGTACCAAAATTTGTGGGTTTTCTTCTTGCCTTGATTCTGTCTGCCTGCTTTTTCTAGTCGGGAAGGGGTTTCTGTGACAGACTGGCAGCGTGCGAGAGAACATATTTTTACAAAGCAACAGATCAGTCTGTGGGAAGCAGTGAAACACTGTGAGATGGAAATCGTGCTGCGCCCTTGCAGGTGGTGCACTGCAGGCTCCTCCACCCCGGGCCAGGGAGTTAATTTGTCCCCAGCACTTTGTGAGCTGAGGGGAACTGAGCTCTGTTAAACTGAGTATCCCGTATTGCCAGCTGAACCACCATGGCAGCTGGGAGCCCCTGTTTTGGAGGAGTGATCAACAGCACTGTCATTCTTCTTCCTTTAAACTCATATCCTGCCTTAAAGCTTTTAGGGAAGTTGCACGTTATTTTATGTACTTGGATAGGAGATAAGACAAAGCCACGTTTTAAGGGGTTTTTTCCCGTCTGTAGAGACATCAAAGAGCAACAAATTAGGGTGTTCCCTTGTGCCATTATTAGATGGAACAAACAGAATCTCTAGGTTATCCCCAGTTCAATACTTTCTATTTCAGCTGTGTACTCCTGAATTATTAACAGCCCTGGCTCTGGAATGGTAAGAGAACTGCAGCTCTATTCCCAGCAGCATTAACCTAGAGCTACCCCAGATGGTGGTTTGCCAATGGCTCTTTTAGGCAAGTGATAAAACACCACCTGAAGGTGACTTCAGAAACAAGTGACTCCAGTAGTGGTAATGCTTTCAGGGCACTGACTGTGATAGGGTGTTTCCTTACCACGCTTATTTTTAATTCCATTTTGTGAGTATTTCTTACTGTAAAACTATAATGTTAGTTTATAATACGTGTAGATAGTAATAAGTCATGTCAAATGTGTTAGGCTAAGGGTGTGACGATTCGAGTTGCTGAATGCTCACCATGTGTTCTGCAGTGGTTCTTTGGTGTTTCCATGGATTTTAGTTGACCAGCTGTTAAGTGTAGCTTAGACACATTTGATTACATAGTAGTTTGTTTGTACCATTTGTGTGTTGGACGAACTTTATTGAACAACAGTTTGAATTTAGGTGTATTTAACTGCCTATATCATGACTAATATACTAATATCTTTAAATCTATTCATAAGAAAGGCAGTTATAGCTTCAATACAGGACATTATTTATTAGCCTAATAATTGTTGCCACCGGACTGCACATTCTCATCATCATCAGTTACTAAAGCAGCATTGTAAGTCTGTGCACACACAAGAGAAAATGAAAAGGATCATTAAGTGGAATAAACAGCAAGTGACACTGAAAAATACATTACAGTGATATTTTAAGCTAATGCTTGTGTGGGCTGTGTGAAAGCACAAAGAGTTTATCTCCTACAATCCTTTTTGCAGTTCTGCTGCTAACCAAGTAGTTTGTAGTGCTGTTTTCCCCTACCTGGCCAGGCTATGTAAGGCCCTTTATGTCCTGAAGCAAGAGAGGGAGGAGAGCAAGGTGAGAGGACTGCAAAATGGAATAAAGATGAGTGAAGGTGTTGACCTAGAAAATGACTGACACACCATTAATGACCATTTCCTCAGAATGCCACTATAAGATAACTTCTCTTATTTTCATTGATGCCTTAAGCTCCTAATGGTTTTTTATTTTTCTAATATTTATAAGCCTTGTAAGTTTTATAGGTAGATTTTAAAAAGCAACAGCCCTCACTCCCTAGCATCCCTTTCCCTGTAGCACCCTTGTTTACACATTCCTTAACCCTCTTACCCCATTCTATGCTCCCTGTATCAGTCCTACCCCTGAATACAGCAGAAATGTTTAGTCTTTTGTCAAGGCAAGGCCTAGATTGTTGGCAGAACAGCATATCAGGGCCTGAACAACAAAATGAAGTCAAGAATTAGGTAACTATGTACCCTTTGTGCTCTGATGATGGTGAAGGTGATGAATAGGGGGTCCCGAAATGCACCCCAGACCCATTTTCAGGGGGTGGACCCGGGGTGGACCAGAGTAAAGGCCACGGGGTGGACACATCTGGGATTGGATGGATGGTATTATAAAATGGAACCTCTCGGGCACAGGGGCGCGTGTCTTGTAACATCTTAGCCTTGGCAAATAAACCCTTTCTTATCTCACCTCTGCTCCGGGAGATTTTTTTCAGCACCATAAATCCCACGGCAACACATAAAGGGATTGATCAGAAGGAATTTTTTGTCCTTTCTAGGTTCTACTCCAACTGAAGGCTCTGTGTCCATATAAAGAGCCCCATTTCATAGAGGAAAGGGCAAACTGTCATTCTACTTCCTCA